CGGCTCACCACCATCACCGGAATTTCTGTCACCGTCGGATACCTCTCCGGTAACTTCTCTATCCTTTACTGTTATCAGTCATTCGATTTACTGAAGCTCATATTGTAAATCTGTTTGGATTGGTCAATTGGATCCTCTATAAAGTTGTAGGGATCAGTTGTGCAGGGATGGAGCCGGGTAGTGCCGAGGGGTTCATCCTATACATTGTATATGATATGTTGAAGCCCTTTAGCTTATTCGTGTGTTTAGTTCTTCGTATTTTGAACCATTTAGTGAAAATTCTGGTTACCCACTGCCGTTATGTTTTGTGAAGGAACTAGAAGGTAGGAAGCTCGTTAGGCAGAATCTACTAATCTAGTAGTTTTGGTTCAAATCCTGTATTTATCTTAAGAAATTTATGTAGACATTATTAATTTGGAATCAGTAATTCAAAAGGAGTAAAATCCTGAACCTGTAAGCTTCAAATTCAAATCCTAGCTCAGCTTGTGCTCACATAAGCAAGTTATCTCCTTTGTTATTGATAAATTTTGGATTTTGGGCAGGAATAAAGCCAGGGATAAGAGGGCCATCGATGGTTACCGGAGGTTTGATTGGGCTAATGGGTGGTTTCATGTATGCTTACCAGAATTCAGCTGGCAGGCTCATGGGTTTCTTCCCAAATGAAAGAGAGGTAGCCAAAGCCAAGTACAAGATTTAACTGCTTTCCTTTAATTTTCTGGTTCTTTTGGATTCCCTTTTGTAGTTTCCCCGAGATGTTATGAAAACAGTGGGAATTTCTCTCTTCTCATGAGAACTTTGTTGAAAGTAATATCTTTAATAATCAGTCTCTGGTTACCAACTTATTACGATTGCTTGTTTTGCTATGAATCATGTATTATTGTGACTTGCTAATAATGATGAGTTGACAATGCATTATTTAGTATGATGATGTTATGAAATGAACTTAAATGAGAGTATTGAGATTTTTTGTTATTTTTTAATCAAGTAGATCATATGCTTCACATTCTTTATGCCACCAATTGATCATAGAAGTATTGGAGTTGCATTCTCTTCTTTTGTCTTGTTCTGTGTGTGCTTAAATGAAGCATTAAGGATTCATATAGCCGACCCCAACTTGTTTGGGATTGAGGTGTAGTAGTTGTTGTTGTGTTACCTTTACTGAAAGAGAGGGATAGGATGGGAATGAGGTGGAATCCTATCAAGCAGCTTCACAGGAGTTATGCTATAAATAGTGGATCATGATGAGGCTGGTCTTTTGATTTTGATTCTTACTATTGTATCCTTATTTGGCTTCTTGAAGCTGAGTCATTCAATTTGTATAATCAGTGGATATACCCAAGTTTAACACATTTCCTCCCTTAAAGCCGGCAAACTTAGCTCTAATTATTTTATTTTCCAGGAAAATAATCATTCATGTGAAAGTTTCTTTAATCCTATTTCAGTATGGGGAAATGTAAACAGAGAATAGCAATGACAGATATGATGTCATGAGAGCACCTATATGTAGACCTTTTGTGCAAGAATACAAAGAGATTAGCTTATCTATTGATTCATTTCATAGAAAAAATGTGAAAGCTGTGAAATACACTTTTGACACTTAGCTCAGTGATAACAGACAAGCTAAGTTTGATCAAGATAGTTGTAAAAGTTTAAACAAGCTATATATCTGAACCTAGATACTAGAACAGCGAATAACTATCCATCTACATAGTAACTCATCTTCACAAGTAAAAACAGAAGCTTTTGTAGGGAATCAGTTAATTAAGAAGCAGGCATGCTTCTGGAGGAGGGGAGCGCATTGCAAGTGATGACTTGCTTAAAGTTGTTGATGTTAACTCTTTCAGTGCAGGCGGGATATAGTAGCAAGTGCTTACCCTTGTTGTCCCTTTTGTAGTTTCCGGAGATGTTATGAAAACAGTGGGCATTTCTCACTTCTATATGACAACTTTGTTGAAAGAAATAGAAGAGTCAAATATAATAAATGCAGTAATCCTACCCATTGTGAGAGGCATCTTCCACTTTGTAATTGAAGGGTTCTTAATAACCAGTCTGGTTACTGACTTATTACGGTTACTTGTTTTGATATGAATCATGGCTTCTCGTGACTTGCTAATAATGATGAGTTGACTATCATTATTTAGTGTGATGATGTTACGAAATGAACTTAAATGAGAGAATTGAGATTCATATAGCCGACCCCAACTTGTTTGGGACTCGGGCGTAGTTGCTGTTAAATTTGAATTAACTAGATCTTATGCTTCACATTCTTTATGCCACTAATTGATCATAGAAGTATAATGGAGTTGCATTCTCTTCTTTTGGCTTGTTCTGTGTGTTCTTAAATGAAGTGCGAGGATTCATTTAGCCGACCCCAACTTGTTTGGGATTGAGGCGTAGTTGTTGTTGTTGTGTTTTCTTTTCTGAAAGAGAGGGATAGGATGGGAACAAGGTGGGATCCTATCAAGCAGCTTCACATGAGTTATGCTAGTATTATCGGTCTTTTGATTCTGATTCTTACTGTTGTATCCTTATTTAGCTTCTTGAAGCTGAGGCTTTCAATTTGTTTCATCAATGAATATACCCTAAGTTTAACACATTTCCTCCCATAAAGCCGGCAAGTTAGCACAAAATTATTTTGTTTTCCAGGAAAGTAACATTCCTGTGAAAGTTTCTTTTCAATATGGGGGAAATGCAAACAGAGAATAGGAATGATAACAGAAATGATATCATGAGAACACTTATATGTTGGACTTTTTGTGGAAGAATAATAAGAGATTATGGGCAAGCTGTAAAAATACTTTTGATACTTAGCTTAATGATGACAGACAAGCTAAATTTGATCAAGACAGTTGTAGAATTTCAAACAAGCAATAAATCTGAACCTAGAGGCTAGAACAGTGAAAATCTCTCCGTTTGCATCTTCATAAGTAAAAACAATAGCTTTCGTAGGGGAATCAGACATGCTTCTGGAGGAGGGGAGCATTGTAAGTGATGATTTGCTTGATGTTGTTAACTCTTTCAATGCAGGTTGGATATAGTAGCAAGTGCTTATCATTGTCGAAAATGATGTCAAGCAACAAAGGACAGAAGTCCTAACTATTCAACTAGATGTTTCATCTTTATATTGTTGTTGAAGTTTTGTTGTTGCATTCTGGTAGCTTACCTCTAGAAATGTGTTTGTTCTATAGGGATCGATGTTGTTAACTCTTTCAATGCAGGTTGGATATAGTAGCAAGTGCTTATCATTGTCGAAAATGATGTCAAGCAACAAAGGACAGAAGTCCTAACTATTCAACTAGATGTTTCATCTTTATATTGTTGTTGAAGTTTTGTTGCTGCATTCTGGTAGCTTACCTCTAGAAATGTGTTAGTTGAATAGAGATCGATGTGTTGCTCTCGTTATCTGGTTGCTTTATTGGCCTTCTCTAGTTACATGTTGCTTCTGTATGAGCAGCATTTACATCTGTGTCTGCATTATTTTTCAATTTTCATGTTGCCCTTTGATGGATTGCTCTATCAGACTTGTTTTTGTTGGGGGTGGAAGGCCTTCGCGGCTAAACATTATATTGTGTTTATGATCAAGCCTATCGGTCAGAAAGTCCTTAAGAACGAGACAATCTTTCCTTGAAACTACAGTGAAAATGCCTCTTTACGACACACAATAAGACTCCTAACCTTAGGTGTGGGATGAGTGAAACATTTGGTGAGTGCAAGTGAAGAACACAAGCACTAATGATTAATTGAAGCGTGTATAACATAACATTCAAGTCTGACATTAAGAAGGGAATGAGTCTTAACTTCGATACCATGAAGATAAATGAATTTTGAGTTTCACTTTACTTCAAATATTAGCTCACGAGGCTTTTCTAATATAAAGAAAATAAGAAATACGATCAAAGTTATTTGGATAGTCATTGTACAATAAATTGATTGAATAAATCAAGAGAATTATAACTACCGTTAATCAAGGATTAATGAACGCTTAAACATTATACCAATTGAAATTTATTTACTAATCACTTTTCTCATGTTGCAAACTTTAGTAACTTAATAATTTGTCCACATGTAAGTGAAGCTCTACCCATTAATATTGACAAATAGCCTTTATAAAAAATAAAAATATAAAGTCTTTTTATCTTAAAAAGGATTACAACTTTTTGTTGATAATTGCAATGAGAAAATGTGATGTCATTAAAAATAATAATCAAATTTTAAGATATGTACTAGAAAAGCATTTAAGATGGTCAATTATGGACAACCAAGGATGTTGTGTAACGTAGAATATCATTTAATGAAGTAGGGTTGGCATTTATTTTATTTGCTAATGCTAATAATAATAAATGCAATATTTAGGTATTGGGTTTTCAGTAACAGTCGAAAGTCTCCAACAATTTATGTTTATTTTATTTAGTTTTAATCCAAAATATATTAATTTCATATTCACACTTGTAACTTGTAACATTCATTTAAGAAGAGTCCTTGCCCTTGCTAATTATGGTTTTTTTCATTTACAAAACTCAAGTTTGAAATCGCTAGTTAAGTATGAAAGAATCTCATTCATATTAGCTAATGTGGTTTTAAATATATCATGAATTTTTTGTCTATTTTCACAAATGCTCAACATTTAAAAAAAATTATAAAATATTGTCAATGTTTAAAATCTTACAAAATTTTAAATTATGATCGAACATCTTCTGATTAAGTTTTTAATTTGTTTAAAGAAGGTCAAATCTTAATCTACAAAGTCCACAAGTTGCAAGAGTAATTACAAAAGATAACAACCAAAAAATTTACAAATACTTTTATAAAAGATAATGTTAAATATAAAAAATGTCATTTTTTCAAAAAAGAAGTTAATTAAAAAGGAGACTACAATATGAAGTCAGATAGACAATGATGATTGTACTCCCACCAAAAATATTAATGGTGAGTAATAAAATATCTTCCCAACCCAAGTCAAGGACAAAAAAATCAGTTTCAACTATTTTTTTCTGAATTTTATTACAATGTTGAAAATCAAGATTGATTTTTTTTTTCTGACATTCTTTTTAGTATTTTCTTCACCACTAGTGGCTTCCTAAAAATGGAATATGCCTTGTCTAAAGTTAGCTTTTTTTCTCTGGTTACTTCATTAACCTTGTTCTTCAATCTTTTTGCTTAAGATTTCTTCTCTGAGTATAAGGTATGCTTTTTTTCACTTTTTTTTTATTATCTGAAGATATGGGTAGTTTTAATTCTTGAAAAAAATTGGATCTTTTTGTATAAACTTGAAAAAAATTGAATCTTTTTGTATTAACTTGAAACCTCTTTTCATTCTTGAAAAAAATGGATCTTTTTGTTTTTCTTGTTTTAGTTTTTTTGTTGTTGGAGTGGGGGAGGGGGTTCTTTATGTTTAGCTAAATTCTGGTGTTAGGATGCAAGTGGTAAGCTTCAATTCTTTGTAATTTTTAGAAAGCATTTGAGACATTTTATTTTTTTTGGGTTTTGTGGATGGGAATTATTTGTTTGCCAGTAAATCTGAGAGGAATTCAGTGAATTCTTTTTTGTGATGATGAAAATTAGGGGTTTCAGTTTCTATATGGAAGATCTATAAGGCTAAGGCAATGGGTAGTGGGGACCTAACCCTTTACCCTAGACCTTTTTTTAAAAAAATAATGAAAAGAAAAGATTGCAATTTTGGTTGAAGTGCTTTTTTTTATATGATGAAGGGTATGAGTTGAGGTTCAGTTAACTTTCTCAAAAAAAAAAGGGTATGAGTTGAGGTTAAATGAAGCTATAGAGATTCAGTTAGCCGACCCAACTTGCTTGAGACTGAGAGTTAGTTTTTTTTCTTTTCACCCTTCCCTAGGAACTCATGCCTTTTGGTTCCTTGGTGAGTCGAATCCGCAACCTTAAGATTGGAGGTGGATGGTGCTTGCCATCTGAGCAACCCCTCTTGTCGAGAGGTAGTTGTTTGGTTTAAGTGCTTTTCTTTGATATGATGAAGGGTATGAGTTGAGGTTCAGTTAACTTTCTCAAAAAAAAAAGGGTATGAGTTGAGGTTAAATGAAGCTATAGAGATTCAGTTAGCCGACCCAACTTGCTTGAGACTGAGAGTTAGTTTTTTTCTTTTCACCCTTCCCTAGGAACTCATGCCTTTTGGTTCCTTGGTGAGTCGAATCCGCAACCTTAAGATTGGAGGTGGATGGTGCTTGCCATCTGAGCAACCCCTCTTGTCGAGAGGTAGTTGTTTGGTTTAAGTGCTTTTCTTTGATATGATGAAGGGTATGAGTTGAGGTTAAATGAAGCTATGAAGATTCAATTAGCCCACCCCAACTTGTTTGAGACTGATAGGTAGTTTTTTTCTTTTCACCTCTCCGTAATTTTTAAGGTTAGAGATGGAGGATGCTTACCATCTGAGCAACCCCTCTTGTCGAGAGTTAGTTGTTGTAGTGGTTACAGTGCTTTTAGGACTATGAACAAAAGCATTTGTCCAACACTTTTACTAAATTAAGTTCAAGCTGTTCTTTATAAATTGGTGTTCTTTTGACTTCTCATTAGTGACAATTGCTATGGTATTTGTTAACCTCTCCACAGGATAATTGGATCATTGAAATGTGTTATGGATGTGCATGTTAAAGCTTGGAGCTGGTGAACTTTTTGTTAACGAGGTCGGGTGTATGCTGGAATATCTATGATGTGCTAAACCGGTAGATAATATTTCACAATGAGGCCTTCTCAAAACCCTGAGGATATCAACGAGTTTAACAGATTCTATAACCAACCCATAGAGTATCAAGAATCCTATTTCCTGCCTTCTATTAACAATCCGAACAACAACCAATCGTACTATGCTGATGTCTCTGCCTTAAAACCCGACCAACACTACTATGTTGAATCATCCACGGGAAATTCTAGTGAACTTGTTTCTGATTCACCTCCTATTGTTAATTTCAACCCCATGATGCAGCAAGGTTCTGATTCATGTCGTTCAGACATGCATCATTCTCCTGATGATACATTTCAATCATCGGGTAACAGTTCGTGCTACACTAGTGATGTTACTGACCTGAAGCACAAGTTAAGGGAACTTGAAACTGCAATGCTGGGGCCAGATTCAGAAAGCATGGAATCATACAATACTATCCCTGCGGCTGCAGCCAATCAAGTTTCATCGGAGTCGGATAAATTGGTTGGAATGATGGAGATGATGCCTAGCGGAGACGTGAAAGAAGTTCTTATTGCTTGTGCTAAAGCAATAGCAGAGAATAATTTGATAACAGCTGAATGGTTAATGTCAGAACTACGCACAGTGGTATCTGTTTGTGGATCTCCGCTACAACGTTTAGGAGCTTATATGCTGGAAGGTTTAGTTGCTAGATTGGCCTCCTCGGGAAGCTCCATCTACAAGGCCTTAAGGTGCAAAGAGCCTACTAGTGTTGAGCTATTCTCGTACATGCATTTGCTTTATGAAATCTGTCCATACTTCAAGTTTGGATATTTGTCAGCAAATGGTGCAATTGTTGATGCCATGAAAGATGAGAACTCGATTCATATAATTGATTTCCAGATTGCTCAGGGTAGCCAGTGGATCACCTTAATCCATGCTCTCGCAGCCCGGCCTGGTGGACCTCCAAGAATCCGCATCACAGGGATTGATGACTCCACGTCAGCTTACGCCAGAGGAGGAGGGATTGAAATCGTAGGTCGAAGATTGTCAAGCATTGCTGCATCTTGCAATGTACCTTTCGAATTTCATCCCGTGTCTGCTTCTTGTCCAGATATTGAGATTGAGCATCTTAAGGTTCTTCCCGGGGAACCATTGGCTGTTAACTTTGCGCTCGTCTTGCACCATATGCCTGATGAGAGCGTTGGAACTCAAAATCACAGAGACAGACTTCTGAGGATGGTTAAAAGCTTATCTCCCAAGATTGTTACCTTAGTGGAGCAAGAGTCCAACACTAATACAGCCCAATTCTTCCCCAGGTTTTTGGAGACACTGAATTACTACCTATCTGTGTTCGAATCAATAGACGTGGCTCTACCTAGAGACCATAAGGAACGAATCAACGTTGAGCAACACTGCTTGGCCCGTGAAATTGTCAACATATTAGCATGTGAAGGGACAGAGAGAGTGGAGCGTCATGAGCTTCTTGAAAGGTGGAGGTCACGATTTGCTATGGCTGGGTTCAAACCATATCCGTTAAGCTCCTCAGTAAACGCTACTATCAAGACTCTGCTGGAGAATTACTACCAAAGCTATACGCTTAATGAGAGAAATGGTGTTCTTTATCTTGGCTGGATGAATCGAGATTTAGTTGCTTCTTGTGCATGGAAATAGTCTCTTGTCGGGAACAGCCTCTCTACCCGCAAAGGTAGAGGTAAGGTCTGTGTACATCCTACCGTAATTAGGTGCATGTAACTTGTAGCTTGATAATGGTAAGAGATAGTAGCACCTTTTTTTTTTCTTTTCTGTTTGTATTAAGTTATAAGACAAGTAATTTAATCTTTTTAATGATCTGTTCTATCAGAAACTAATCTAAGTCTTTTTTTATCTTTCACATTGTGCATTTTATTGTTAGCTCAATTTACTCCATGAGTAGTCTTATTCCAGTTTCAATCTCTGCAATCTGCCAACTCATGTTCATAGTTCATTTGGTTTGTCACTTTGCACGACATGAAACAACACATTCAGGATGTATATCAATTGAAAATTACAGAAAATACATTAGCCAAGTGCAATCATCATAATTACAGAAAATATGATACATTGAAAAGTTCATCATAATTCCTAGAAAATGTCGTTGATCTGTATTCAAGGGAGAAAGATATTGGAGGTCGACATTTGCTCCGTCATCCATTTCCTAATATACTCTAGGTATATGTACACAAAGAACACTAGGTGAAGATGTATTATACAGCATGACGCGACGAGTCCTAGAAGTATTTATACTTCAACTAGAGATATCTTTGTAATCCACCAAGATGCAGGAAAAAATATAGATGGTGGCTTCTTATTGTTACGCTCTTATACTTGATGGTAGAGACTATTCAAGGGCCAAGAAGTATCTTTCCATAGTTTTGGAGAGACTGAGTAGAAGGTTGTAAAGGCAAAGTTTCGAAACTAGGTCCCTGAACACGATTATCTATAGCTCCAAATCGGCTCATGCCACTATGTACAATACCATAGCGCGCTGCAACTGCAGCTGGCTGTACTAGCATCATACCAGAACGTGAAACTTGAACTTGGTGATGGAGGGTGTGAAGTTGCCCGTTGTTCCCATTATCCAGACGATATCCAGTACCAACGCCTAGATCCAGACTAAGTGAGTTGGTCTCTCCTGCCCTGATCCTTGAACTGCCGGTTACAGGTGAGGATCCCGTCATTTCATGGTTATTATTTTTTGCAGCAGGTACATCGTGGTTATGTTTTCCTTCATATGTGGTGATAACAGCTTTGGGATCATGAGAAGCCCTCTCCACGTGTTTCCTGACAGGGCATCCAGCACTGGTGCACTTGTAATAGCTCCTGCATGACATGAAAATCAGGAGAAAAGATTGACCACTGGAAAAGAAAATGCTCGAAATCCCTAGCTTCTGGATATGATACAAAAGCTTACCAGAGATCTATATGAATCATGATGAGTGTGAATGTTTGATGAACTTAATGATAAATGGTCTCTAATTCATCTTAAATTCCCAACTATAGAATGTTGGCTTACAACAAAGAAGATCTTGGGGATCGATGGATTAAGGATCTGCTATCCTAGAGACCTCATTGTCTCTTTAGGCTCTTACCTCTCATCAAGACAAGGCTCATATATCACAAGTGTCAGGCTTTCTTAGGCTACAACTTGGAACATTTTAAAATGACTACTTTATAAACTAGCCAACACAACCAACAACCAGAAATGACTTTTGTCAGATACTTGTTACATAGCAAGATATATCTGGTCTGTGTACACGACAATAATGTAAAATGAGGTCACATGTTCAGATGACTACAAACCATAAACATTATATACCTAGGATTAGGATTGCCTCGGACCACCTTCTGTCCATATTTGCGCCACTTGTACCCATCATCCAATATATCAACTTCACTGACTGTTTGAACAACAACGCGTGGTTCACGGATAGGCTTAATCACTGGCGTTATATCCATCCCACCATCCATTTTCCTGCTTAAAATATTAACCAATTATCAGATCTATAGCAGAAATAAATTGAAGGTGCTCCAATAGTTTTACCTTCTTTTCGCAAATTGATCATCCTCATCCATATCATCATTAGTGCCATGCATCTGTGACCCTGCTCCTTCAAGACCACCAGTGTCCGCTTGCTGAGGTGATACGGGAGTACTACTAGGCTCAGTTTTACTAGTTTGGACATTGTTGTTTAACTTGTCTTCTACATAGACTGAGAATCAATAAAGGTTTACTCAGAATAACATTACGAAAACTTCTTCAGAATAACCACTTTATGTTCAATTGAGAGGGAAACGAATACCAAAAGAGCTACTTGTTTACCTTCTTGACCCCTGAAACACGCTTCTTTCTCACATTTATCTTCTTGGATAGACATGAGAGCACCAGGAGAAAATCGGCGGCTCAGTTGGGGTTTAGGATGATCATGAGAACCTTTATAAACAATCTCTGTTATTTGTCCTTCAGGTGACCGCTCAAATATCTTTTTCACTTCGCAGTTTGGATATGTACATTTGTAATAGCTTCTCGGAAATTCACTTCCTTTAACAAGTTTCTGGCCATACTTTCGCCAGTTATACCCATCATCTGATGATCTATCAGATGTTACTGATGATACATCTTTATGATCGGCATGTGATCCTTGCATGCTTGCACTAGATTGATCTCTCGGATTCATGGCATCAACGTTAATAGGTTCATATAGACTCTCTTCTTTTGATGAAGCATCAACATTAATAGGTGCAGATAAACTCAGTTCTTTTGATGTTTCCATCTCGTGTTTAGCTAGAGATGAAGGTACTAACAATTGAGGATGACTTTGATCTTGAACTTCTTTCAGTGGCTCATTTTGTTGTTGGTTGAGACCTGTAGAAGTCTAGATTACAGAAGCATATTAGGAATGTAGGAACTGACTACTAGTAAACTAATATTCTTTTCTGTAATCAAATTGTTCAACAAGCTAGTAGAAATTAGATCTAAATATTTATTTTTGAAGATCTACCTACAAGAAGAGAAAACTCATCAGAAGAGGGCCCAAAAAAAAAGGTGTGCAAGGCAAAATTTATACTCTGTGGAACCTTTAAGATATACAGGGAGATAGAAGCTTCTGAACTCAGTAAAAAAAGGAAGCTCCATCCACCCACCATGCAACATAAAACAAGAAGGACGAGGTAGATATTGGAAAAATAGCCACTAGACGTGTGATACAGGTTGATTTTCTAAAAGTTCAAAAGAATTACAACCGTTTTAAAATTAAAAAAAGAAGTTCGAAAGAATTACTTTGACAAACTAATTTGCAGGGTTACTTATAACGTGCATTCTGACATGATTTAACAGTCACAGAAGAACAGATTTAAGTTAGTTATTGTACATTCTCGCAAAGTTAATTGGATGGACACACCATCAATCAAATTTATGATTTTTAATTGTAATAACTTCTGGAATTTGTTAATCGAATATTTTTTTAATAGTAATGTGACAAATCATAGAAGAGGTAAGAAGGATCAGGAACAAGGCATAGTAGATGAAAGGTCACATCCACTGGTTTAACAATTCATTTCTTGACATTATGCATGACCACACTCAAACTACTGCTCACGGTGCTATCAATTTACCGGCATAACCAGATTAATGATACTCTACTTGTGTGAAAAGGACTGTAGTGCTGCCACTTAAGAAACATGAGTCTCTTCGATATGAAGAAGAAAAACACAGATGAGCAAATCAAAGCTACTTTACTTCCGGATAGCATGTTACAACACCATTTAAAACCTGCACATTTGACATTAACCTCAAATAGATGCCATATCAAGAGAATGGCACAAGAACAGGAACCTGAACCTCAGAGTTAAACTTTCATTTCTTCTAAGTTAAACATTAGTCAGTTGTTAAAGAGGGCTACTGCTAATAAAAAAGCTCTTGTTTCATTTGTTTTTTGTTTCTAATCCAACATCAATAATATTTTCTAATAGAGCATTACCACATGTTCAGTTGCTAATGATCCTGATGTAGAACTAGATCCACCGGCATATTTGTACTCAAAGCAGCTTGCTTTTCTTTCAATGTATGTATTGCCACTAGCATAACCTCTTGTCAATAAGAATGCAGCAGCCCCACCAGAGCCTTGCACTGTTTGAAATTTGGAGAAGGAACCTGTAGTCGGAGATGGCTCAGCCTGCAGGTTATAAGTGAAATAGACTAAGTGTTTTGATAGGTAAATGAAATAAACTTTTAGTTATTGATCACAATTTTCTTTTCCAAAGGGAAACACATTCATCCATAGACAGACATGGTACATATATTTACTACTCTTTCTCAGTTTTCTGCTTCGTTGAGGAGGGAGAAAAGTTTTTTTCTTTTTTACGTCACCTTCAGGTTCATTTCTTTTCATTTGGGTGGAGGAAGATAGATGCTACTTATAGTAGTGCAAATGATCATTTATCTGCAACAGAACATTAGCATTTACGTCCGAATAAGAAACATTTAGGCAAGCTTTAAAAAGCATATAAGTAGGTCAGAAGAACAATGTAGGGAATTTACTGATGCCATTATCAGGACAGAACATTAGAAAATAAACATCTTTTTCCACAAGGAACAACATAGTGGAAAAGCTGAGCACCTTGCGAAAAGGAAGATTCATTATGTGAAAAAACAACACTGATGCCTAACTGAGCTTTTTCCACGCAGAAAAACGAAGAATATGTATTCTGGTAAAGGCCAGAAGCATAATTCTATTAAAAAACGATATATGCACCAATACAGTTCATCGTTCATGTAAGCATCAGAACCAACGGTGACAATTTACACAGATAAACATACTTATATTTATAGATAAATATTATATTCTTAAATGAGCACTTAGCTATATGCAGAAGAATCAAACCAACAAGTTGCAAATTGCAAATGCCAATCAAAAGAACCAAATGTCTAATCAATAATTCAAACCGTACTTTAAGAAAGCAACAATCACATAAAAAAAATCCTCAAATCCTCCACTGATTATGACGCAATCAAACTGAACAAAAGAAGGAAAAAAGTTTTACTAATAGTTTGCATTTCACTCAATTGAAGACAGCACAACTATACACCTTACTCTTAACAACACTTAAACTAATTAGATTATCTTAATAATTGTTAAGATTCCCTAATTATTTTTCCTTATAGCTTATCCTTCGTTTTCTTATCAATCAAAACATAACAACAGCTAATTAGTACTCGTAATCACCTCAACATCCTGGATCTACTGAAATTCTCCGATTAAAAAAAGCATCGTAGTCAAAATAACTTCATTTCTTCAGCTAATGTGTTACATTATAACAAAACAAGCTTAAATTTCGTCCGATAATAA